TTTTTTAACAATATTTTTTGCTCTGCCACCTCTTTTGAGCAAAAAGTGTTTCTTGCTTGAGGTGGATGCAGTTTCCTACTGAGTGATGCCTGAATAGCCTCCTCCCTCAGTGCTCATTTTCCCTTTCTGACACTATGTTTTCAGAAAGGAACTCATCTTTGTGATTTATTTATCTGCACCAGCTCCTCTATTGTCTTTATTGTGGGATTCTAGCCATTCATGTGCAGGTAAGTGAGTAGCATTTCAAACAGGTACCCACCTCTATGCAAAATCTTACACTCTTCCTCCCCACTTTCAAATATTTGTTTTGCCTCTTCAAGAATGAGCCTTTGTTCAATTATTTGTACTTATGCACATGAAGAATATGTCACTCTTCAAATTGTGGAGGGCTGTAGTCTAATGATGATCACATTGTAGACTTGTGCAATATGTATAAATGCTCAAGGCTTGTGGCATGTGCAAAAATTTTCACAGCAGTGTACAAGGTAATAGCTGTTTGTTGTGCGTAGAGGTGAGTATCTCATATACATTTTCAGCTAAGGATATTGTAAAGTTTGGGCCAGTCATGGCACTTTTAGGCTATGGGTGCTATTTAAAAGTGGGACCCAAATCTCACTACTTAGACATAAGAGTAGCCCAAGAGTTGGCAGTGGAAGCTGTTGAGTAGCTGTCTTTCCTTTAGTCTTATCTGCACAGATAGTCCTTACATACAAAAGTATTAAAACAAAAATAAACAATACTAAATCACATTCTGGTTTTAAAAAGGATGTGTATAAAAATATGAATAAATTTTTGTGAGATGAAAGATTTTTTTATAAGACTTAGAATAACATAATGATGTGAGAAGCTGTTTTTTTTTATAGCGAGTTATTATCTAAGATACAGGTTTTTAATATGTATACCTTGTAATATGATAAAGATAAGACAGAAGATGTTTTTTTATAATAGCTTATTTTTTATATTGGTTTTTAAAAAGGAGGAGAAAATCCCAATGTTAATATTTTATCTATTTATATATTTGTGTTTTATTTTTGTTGATGTGATGTATTCCTAGAAAATAAAATCAAAACAGGCAGACTGACTTCTGAAATATGAAAAAAACCTTTCCTTGTTGAGTTGCTCTCAGAAACCATATGACTAAAGATCTGAGTGTACTTGACATTAATCAACCTACTCGGAGTTCTCCACTCTCCCACATTTCTTATGACCACATCAGGAGAAGGTGTATAAACTCTGCTTTCCCACTGTAGTAGAGATTTCATGTTGACAGTTGTGCTGTTGACTTCAATCACTATGTATTCCATAGTTAACAGTGACTACTGATGTAAATGTCTCTACCATTATCTGAATTTTTGGATCTTCTCTTGAGGTCTTACATAGTTTGCTTCTAGTGTACATGAATTTTCAATGCCTGTATTGTTAGCTCTTGTCGGTCTGTATATTCAGGCATTTAATTCCATATCGTTTATTGCTGTCCCTGGTGGGCTTTATGCTTATGTGGATGCTCAGTTGTGAAATATTTGCCATTTTTTTATGCTAGTGATAAAAAATAATATAAAAAGATATTTCACTCAGGCTTGTTCATCTTTTCAGCTAGCCCTAATTCTGAAAAAGCTTCTGCTGGTCTCATTTCTCTTTTTCTCAGCTTTGTTCTATTTTAAATCTTGTGATTTCTGTTATGCCAGTGTGTGCTAATGTTATATTGGAAGATTCGCTTTTGTCTACTTTGACCCGTTTTCAGTTAATCTGCCTTTCATATTTTATTTTGTCTCATTTTGAGACTTCTGTTTAAGAGTAATTATTAGTTATCAGTTCTTCTCATTCCCCTTATTCTTTTCATCAGGATCAAAATTTTACCTCAGAGTCTTCCTAAGCTGTGATTTTAACTTATGTAGTTTCTCTTACCATGTCTTTTAATGTTCCTTTGACATTTTTGCATATCTTGTTTTGCTACAAGGTATTTCCTCCCTCCCAACTTTTCAGCTGACCTTGACAAAGCTTCTCTGCATCATTGGCCTTTTCAGAATATCACTTTCACTAATCTCCCTAGTTTTGGAGAAGCATGCTGATTAGAGTCTTAACATTTTGTCTTACCACTGGAAGTCATTCCTTTTGAGACCACCAACAAGTGTCTTCATCTTCCTACCTTGCCTCCCTCATCTACTTCTCAGTCAATGTTAGCTACTTCTATTTGTTTCTTTTGATACTACAAAATGGTGAAAAGTTGTAATAAGTGATGTGAGTGTTCTTGATCCACTCAATGACTCTTTTGTTCTGGGCTATATATCACATCATTGGTTCATCTATGGAATCCTTTAGTTTGACTGATTCAAAATCATTTATCAATTTTCTCCAGTTTTTTACTCCCATCTCTTTGGGGCTCCAAATATATCAGAAGCTTGGAGACTTGTCATAGACATGTCTCAACTTTTCTTTTCATGAAGAAACATCATTTTAAAATGAGAAACATGAAATTGTTGTGAAAGTTTTTTGTTATGGCTATTGAATGATGATGGTGGATTTACAGGATACTTTTCTTCATGTTTCTCTGCATCTATTATCCTATCATTTCTTCTTTTTCCATTGAGGGCATTGTTTATAAGTTCACTGCTCTTTTATTAAACTCCATAAATTTTCTGTAGTTTAGTCTGGTTTCTAATTTTTAGTTTTTACATGTATGAATGGCTTAAACATACTCGGTTGACCATCCAGGTGGCTACATCTCTTGGGTGGATCATCCATAACTCAGATTCCCATTTTAGTACCAATGCAGTATTTGGTAGATATGAAGTTTTGGATCAGCATATTGCAGGTATTTTTCATCCAGCTCTTATGGAATTTGTAAACCTGAGAGCCTTTTGTATGTACTCTTTTTATGTCTTCAACACCTACTGCCAAAGACATCCTTTCTGTTTTGTGTGCACTGGTTTTATGCTTCTCACTGATGTTGGATTTATGACCATTGTTATGCAGCTTTCCTATTCCTATTTCTTCCATCACTCTTGTGTTTCTATATTTTTGTTTAACCAAGTGTTATACCACTGTATCTCCTTTTCTTCCTTATACTATAGACTTTCATCTTGTAACAGATCCCTCTCTCTTGGCTGAAATGTTCTGTTGAAGAATTGGCTTCAATCTGGCTCTTATACTCATGAGGAAGCAACAGCTCACTTCAAAATGGTAGAAAGTTGAGCTGTTTAGAATGTTTGTCTTGTGTTCTTGCCCCTTTAACACCATCGTTTTTGTGCAAGGTCACACAACAATTCTACAGTTGTAGCTTACATTAACAGTTACAGTGGTACTCATTTTTGCAGCCTTTGCTTTCCTGGAATTTAAGTTATTCCTTGACTTTATTTTAATCTTCTTTCCCTTTAAACCTGTCATGTTCCTAGCAAGATACATATTTTTGCAGAATCTCTTTCTCCATGGATTTTATCTTCCACCCTTTGGCTTTTCAAAAGGCTGGTTGTCCAATGATTGTTACCATTTCTATATTAGTCAGCCATCTTTTTTTCACTCTATTAATATCCAGATCCATAGTTTCTGACAGTGGACACCTTGAGTCAGTCTTGGAAGAACTTCTTCCTTTATGCCTACTCTTTTCTCTGCCTTCTTCCTCATGTACTTGGCAAGATCAGTTACTCAGAGCTCTCCTTATTACTCCACTCTGGCCAGTTCAACAATAGTTTTTCCCTGTTACATTGATTTTTTTCAGGGGAATCAGTTGCATTACCACCATGGAAACATCTTCAACATTTTTGAATGTCCATTGTTTTTTCACAACAACAACATCTGTCTTCTGTGGCATTTTGGTTGGTTGGTAGCTGAATTCTTTGTCAGAGAAGGGGAATTGTCTTCCTGGGTGGCTTGTCTGTTATCCAATTGTTGCAAATTCTTTTTCCTTGGTTACTTTCTAAAGTTGGTGCAATAAATGGTATATCTGTTTATCTCCATTCCTCAACAAGTTATTTTTTGTTCTTATGTATTTGTTTCATGATTATATCTTATCAGCTTCTTCCATAATTGGCTATGGAGTTCTCTTGTTTGTCATCTTTAGATGAAATGGAAGCCATCAATCTTTTTTTTTTTTCCAAGCCATTTATCTTCACAACCCCAAGTTCCTACACATTGTCCTAAAGTAAATTGGTCTTAGGTTTAGTCTTGTATTTCTTGGCTTCTCCCACTTTTGAACCTGTAGCAATTTGTTTTCTTTCTCATCTTTTCCTCAGATCATATTTTCTGTTATTATTTGCATTGAACAGAAGATACTCTGATATCTATTCCTTTGATGCTTCATGTGCATAATTCTCCAGCAAGGCCTCATACCCAGATTGAGCCTTTTTACATACATGTTGTTTCTCACCTGTTGTGTTACCTGCCCTGACTGATCTTGATTCTTGTTTGGAGGAACATTTTTATATCCTGTCAGGGCTATTTGTTGTTATCTCAAACATACTGAACATGGGGGAAGTAGTCTAGAAAAAATTATTTATATGTTATGACAAATCATTCTCCTTAGGTCGTTCACCAGTTATATTAATAAATTGGTTTGCACAATCAATCCATCTTGTTTATCACGGTGTTCCTGGACACCTTTTTGAGATATATCTACTTGTTTTTAATTTCACATTTTTAGAATTAAAATTAATTTTGAACAGGTGTTTACCTCTGAAATACATTCTCACCCACCTCCCCACAACCAGGAGATATGTGGTTTTCCATCACAATTGCAACTATGAAAATATGGATTTTGGCAGGAAAGAAATTATATGTCTTCTGTCACGGGCACAGTAAGTCTCGAGTCAAGGAAGGTAGGAGAGTGGAGAACTCTGAATAAGTTGATGCATGCTCATGTGGTTGTTGACAGCATGAGTTCAAACTCAAAAATTAAAGACTTTTCATATTTCAAAGGTAAGTTCCTGTTTGAAAATCATTTTAGTTGTAAAAAGGTAAAAATTGGGTATCAAATATACTATATTTGTTACTTTTTTGTGCTTTAGAAGGTGAATCATCCACTTTGAGAGAAGTTTTTGGGTACCTGATTCTTTGTAAACCTTCCAAGTTAAACCAAACCCTCCATAAACAAGTTTCTGATGTGTTGGAAAAACTGTGCAATTTGAAAGTGAACTATTTGGATGCTACAAGTTTAGCTAAACATATATTGAAAGACATTTGTGAACAAAAACATCAGAACACAGGTAGGAATGTGGCTATTCATTGGACATTTTTACTTTAAATACAATTGTTTTTATAATAAATGATGCTGAATATAAATAAAAGCATGTAATGAATTTGAAAGTATTGCATGCCACATCACTATTCTTATTTATATTTAAGTAGCATGTAGAACCTTCCTTAACTCTGCAAGTGACCAGGACTGTAGCTAAATGAATTCCTCTCTCTCTCTATCTATCTATCTATTCTTTTTTTTAATCAAAATTTGTATAAAGTGAAAAGCACTGTTGTGACTGATCATGCTTACATGTATCTTTTAGAATCTTCAAATCTGGAAGAAGTAATCATTGAATGTAGTTACTGACCACATTTTAGTTTTAATTCTAAAACCTTTCTTAACTCTTGATGACATAACCAGGACTGTAGTTTCTGACCACACTTTTATTTTAATCTTGCACAATCTTCTTCAAATCTGCATGAAATGACGAGGACTGTAATTACTAACCACACTTTAGTTTATATGTTATACAGGATCTTCTTCAAATCTACTTGAAATGACCAGGACTGTAGGTTCAGGTTAAATTAGAGTATATGTAAAATTTGTGTGAATTAACTAAAATATAGGTTATTGAACTAATTATATTTCTTCATGTCATCTTATAGTTTGTTTTTCAACTTGCATGAACTGACCAAAAAATTAAATTAAAGAACCAGTTGAAATTATTTCTGGTTATCTTGTAAACTGTTTTCAAACTTTCTCCCACTGGATTCAATTCCCCTCGGTGGACACAGCAGATTGGCCGATGTGGCTTTGATATAATAAAACACACATAACTCACAGATAACTTCATGTGACCCTGTTAGCTGCTAAATCTCCAATATTTTTATTTTAATTGGCTTGTACTAGCAATGTTACATACACAGAAATACAACATTTTTGAACTATTTTATTTTATATAGGCATCAAATATTTGTAACTGAGAAACGAAGTCAGTGTCTTAATGTTTAAATTACAAAATAGGATATTAATTATTAGCAACTTCAGACTAGCAAATTTAATCATGACCTAAATTGCACTTGATGAACTACTTTCTGCATTAAATGAGATCATAGGGCTGCCATATTGATCGGAAGTCATCATAGTTCAGTGGCATACTGTGAACATGTCTCATTTCAGCCAGCAAAATTGCTGTGTTGATAGAAAAACAGTACGATTCAGTTAATAGAAATTAATCACGTACAACCCTCATGGACCATTTGGTGATGGCTGTTTACATCCCTCATGCATTTTTCAAATGTGATGGACAGATACTCCTATCATCATTAAATTGGTTGCATTCCTGTATGAATAGAGTTGTTCCATATTTTCTCCAGATAAGCATATGTTTGCTACCTGGTTGCAGACTGAAGTGCAACTCATCTATAAACAAAATACTGCTTCACTTGTTCTTGATCCCCTAGATATGTTTTGGTATCACTGTAAGCAAGCTGTTTGTGCCTTGCTCTGAGTGGGATGCATCTTATTGTGAATTTAGCTTACAAGGCAGCTTTGTAAAATCTGTTTGGAACTATCTGTACACTGACAAAGCAACTAATTGCATGTTCATATGTCTGATTCAGTTTCAATGAAGGTACCCAGTAATCATTGCAGACTAAAATTAATACGTGGCAGTGATTTGCTTGTGTTGTAGATAATAGTCTGTCTTGTCCAAGTTTCCAGGTAACTGCTACATTAAGTTTGAAGTAGTTCTACTTTCTACTAATGACACTTTGAAAAACTTGTGGATAATTTAAAATAGCTTCCTCATGTCTTATGATCCTCAAAATGAGTGAAATGTCCAAGTGTCTCGTTATGGTCTAGCCATGCTTTATGGGACACATTAAACTCACCTTAAAGTGACAATTGAGACAAGAGTGTGTGAGAATACTATATATAGAATATATTGAATAGTAAGTATTCACATTTTAAAAGACATGACTGATCATAATGCCTGGTTTGCTTAACAATCAACTGGCGAAGAATGATTGATATCATAACAGTAATTTTGCTTTGCAATGACCAGAATATTTATAGATACAAAGTTATTTTCAGTTATCTTGTTCAGAGTAATTGTAATTATTTCAGTTTGTTTTAGAATCTTCTTGAAACTTAACTCTTTAAACCTGTAATTTTTTGCACATTCTACTGGAATTATTTTCATAATTTCTTAATAATTATCACCATACCTTATCAAATTTCAATTTTTTTTATTAATATGTGGGTAATAACATGGTTTGGATTAGTTTTCAGCCAAAGAAACATAAATGTTATTGGATGCTGTCACCGTCCAATAGGTAAATCAGGATTTTCAGCCAAACACTGGAAGTGTCTGTTTGGGTTTAAGGAGTTAATAGATATGTGGAGTGAAACAAAGAATGGCATTATTGAACAAGTTGTTATTCTTACAGATTATTTTGTAGAATATTCTTCAAAGTTTAAATGAAAAACCCAATAATAAAGTTATGAGCAGATTGTACTTGACTTTTGAAATTGTCAACTGTTTGTCTTTCTAGAGAATAGATTAATTTGGAATTCTGTTTGTAGTTTCTTCCAGTAAAGTGTTTGAACTAAGCAAAGCTGTAGAATTGCTGGCAAGAAGGGAAGGATGGGAGTGGACCAACAACGTTTTAATCCGTGAGCTTCTCTGGCCTGTTTTACAACAATGGAGTGTAAGATCCCAATGTCTTGAAGAAAACAAAGAATCTGTGAATGAAATAAAAGTTGTGTTTGTTTTAAAACTGTTTGGTAAGTTCTAAATGTATTATTCAGATATAAAATATTTTACAAAAAAAAATTACCATGACAGAGAACAGATATGTACAGTGACATAATTTATTAAATGCTCATCATACTTCTATATGCATATTTAAAGCTGAGCTGCCCTTTCTTGTTAACCTCTTTAGCATATCATACATCTTCATACACACAGCCAGAATATGAGATGTATTTGAAAATCTGTACAGTAGCTTTGTACTTGTTGAGGTAGAATTGACACTATACTCATAGATAAATACTATGATGAGAACTGGTTATTGAAATTGATATTATAATGGTGACGTATATTTTTACCTTATTTTGCTTGTATCAATATTTTTATCTTGTTATTCAGTATACTTTGATACAAAAAAAATATCTTGTTACTGCATTACTTTGAAATATCTTCCATTTCAAAAAATCACTGCAGTAGGCCTATGATACATTTGTATTTACTTAAATGAATGCAAGTAGATGAGCTTAAAGGAAGGATAAAGACACATATTAGATGTGTAATTAGTTTCATATTATCCTTGCTTAATTCAAGCTTTGGCAGAATTACATATTAGAATTACACTTAGTTTTAATAATTTGATTTACCACTGCCAAGAAATGAAACACCAAATTCTTTATCAAGCATAAACTTCCATGTATAAGTAATTTTACAAAATAATATGTAACAACTAATCTACAGATTGATTCAATTAACACTTACTGGTATGTGAAATAAAAGTGTCAACTGACAGTTTCTAAAGATGGGACGAATGTATTTAATTTAATTTCATGTTTGCCTTAATTTGGTACACCAATCCACTAAATACAGTTATAACTGATGTCTCAAACTGGGCAAGGTGATGTAGTTGTATCATTAAGTATTCTAGTTGCTTAGCAGCAGTGTTATTCTTGTATAACATCTAAATGTTTGATGTTATTCAGGGGAAAATTAAGAAATCGGGGGAGAATATTTTTGTGAGAACTTGACATTGTCAGTTTCAATGATAAGATCAGTACAGAAGAGAAAGTTTCGTTACAGTGGGTATGTTTGGCAGACCCCACTCACATGTTAACCCATGACTACCAGCTACTAACTTTCTTAGTAAGCAACGTAAGTCTTGCTATATTTCATTCCAACAATAAAACTAGTGGACGAATATCTTCGAAAATT